GTATCCAAACACAGCTTGCGAGTTACTAACCTCTGATGTGTCCCAGATAAATGACGCACTGGCTGGCAGTGAGGAACTTGTGAAAAAACTCTACGCTTTCCTAGATACAGACAGTACGCTTAATCCATTACTTGCCAGTTTCTTCAGTAAAGTTATGGGTCTTCTTATAACCAGGAAAAGTGAAATGGTAAGTTTGTTGGTATGTTTGAACAAAACAGGAATATCACTATTTATTGTAGCTTTAACCCTCAACCTGTGCAAACCAAGATAAGCTGGCACACCTGAGCTTGTCTAAACATGGTCTGCACAGTTAGATGTTAAGTTGATACATATTTTGAAATTTACCCTATAAATGATGCATGATTGATTAAAGATATTTATTAATGTTGCAAGGGTTAAGCAGAAATTGCTATTTACACTATGATACGTTCTACATAGACAACATATGAATGCTTGTGTTTAGTTGTGACATGTTAGTAATCACAATTGTAGTGTTCATTATTTAATTTTATGTCACATTGGCAAATATTCAGTATCCGATAATGTAAATAAGAGCCCTAACGTGAAAGTTTACCAAATGATACAGGAGATTGTTTGAAATTAGACTTTCTGTGAATGTCAACATTGTAACATTACTAAGAATACCAAATTCATAAAACAATAATGAAAGAAAATGAGAATGGTAAACAAAATCTGTAAAAAAAAGAGATCACTGTTTTAAGTTATATTTTGTTGCATTATATGTTTTGATACAAAATGTGTAGTCAAAGGAAATATATATAATTGTCTTGATAAAACTAAAGTTGATAACCAGGCATTGATTTTGTTTTTTCTGTTTGATTGTTTCAGATATTAGAATTTCTACAATCACGGGAAGATTTTGTTGGTACACTTTTAAAACATATAGGGACCTCGGCCATTATGGATTTACTTCTACGATTGCTCACATGTATAGAATCACCAGAAATCAGACGTGCCATGATAGAGGTATAATAATTTCAAATACAAGTATTTATAACATATATGAATAAATTTTTGTTCACCTGCAAAAATGCTGCATTATTTTCCCTAAATTATTAAATGAAGAGCGTGGCAAATTGTGCAGAAACTAGTCAACTGTATTCATAAAGATTATGATGAAGATGTAAGAAATTTGTTCTCTAAATAATTGATTAACAATGGCTACTTTTGCCTATATGTTAAATAAAATGCTTTAAAAACAACTCGGGAGTGCTAAAGAAGTGCCTACTAGTATATTTTAATTGGTTACTTTAAACTGAGGTAATGTGTAATAATACCAAGCTTATGATGCCAATCAACACTCGAGCAAAGTAGTAATTTTGCACAGTCTGGCTATCCACTATGTCATTGGTATTTGTGTACTTTGATATCAGAATCTCCTTAAATATAATAAAACCTTTTATATACAGTTGATGATTCTCAAAAGTCCAGTACTATTCATGTATTAAGAAATCTAGCAGGTTTAAGTTTAGTTTTAAATGCCAATACGAATTTCTCGATAATACAGAAATTGTTTCACCCAAAGTTTCTGTACCTATTATTGAAATAGAGCAGCTAAATTAAATGAATTCTTAATTGAAAATGGAAATGGATGGCTCCTTTGAGAAATGTTAATTTATTTGTTCTAATTGGCAGAGATGAAGTATTTATAAATATCTTGAGTAATGTTTTATTCTAGTTCTAATTTTAACTCTCAGAGATTGCATGAAATCATTGTGTTGAATGTGGATGTTTTGTTTATAACATTGTTATGTTTGCCTGAATTTCAGTGGTTGAATGAACAGCAAATTGTGCAGAAACTAGTCAACTGTATTCATAAAGATTATGATGAAGATGTAAGACATTTGTTCTCTAAATTATTGATTAGCAATGTTCTGTATATTTATATTAAAGGTCATCCAAGGTAGAACTTAATTAAATGTCTCATTTACAATATAGGTTAATGCATATACAATTTAAATAGTAATGCATGGCTTATGTTACAATAAATGTTTTTATGGTAAGCAGTTACTGCAGGCAAACCTGTATGTCTGCAAATATATGTTACTGTTATTTTTATGCCACCGCAGCATCTGCGATGCGGTGGCATATAGCGATTCACCTGTGTGTTTGTTTGTGTGTGTGTGTGTGTGTTATATAGATTATATAGTGAACTTAAAAAATCTTCTTGTGAAAAACCACTTGTCCAATTTCAACCAAACTTGGCAGGATTGATCCTTGGGTGAAGGGCTTCCAAAGTTGTTCAAAGAATTTCATTCCATGCAGAAATCTGGTTGCCATGGCAACCAAAAGGAATTATAAGAATAAATTTAAAAAATCTTCTTGTAAAGACCCAAAAGGCCTAGAGCTAAGATATTTTGCATAAGGCATTGTCTGGTAGACCTCTACCAAGATTGTTCAAATTATAACCCTGGGGTCAAAATCGGCCCCGCCCCGGGGGTCATTGATTTTCACTATATGTACATATAGTAAAAACTTAAAATAACTTCTTGTAATGACCCAAAAGGCCTAGAGCTAAGATATTTTGCATAAGGCATTGTCTGGTAGACCTCTACCAAGATTATTCAAATAATAACCCTGGGGTCAAAATCGGCCCCGCCCCGGGGTCATTGATTTTCACTATATGTACATATTATAAAAACTTAAAATAACTTCTTGTAAACC